CTCTACTCTACTCTACTCTACTCTACTCTACTCTACTCTACTCTACTCTACTCTACTCTGCAGAATCCTATCTATGTCCTGCCCTGGCTTATTCTATTATATTCTATTTTATTCTACTCTGCAGTATTCTATTCCATTCCATTCCATTCTACTCTACTCTATTCTGCAGTATCCTATCCTATCTATCCTGTTCTGTTCTATTCTGTTCTATTTTGCTCCAACTTATCAATGTCCTTCTGTATCTTGATAGTGGCCTCTAAAATGTCTGTTTCCCCACAATACACAGATTTGATAAACATATCTTCTAACGCCATATATTAATTATTTATAAATAAGTTCAGCAGTTTATAGTGACTGCTTGACAGTTCCATAAAGTGAGATATGAAACTAGTGGGGGGGGGGGACTCAGTGGGTATAATTGTTCAATCAGGTCTGTGTCCAGCTAGTGGTAGATAGTTCAGCCCACATCATGCCATGTTTTCTATTGAAATCTCATTTAAAACTTTGCCAAATGCTTAATCAATCCTTTAAATTATCATAAAAGAATTCTTTGAAAATATGACCCATTGAATATTTTACATGGATTCGAAGACCTCCAAGGTCCCTTCCAACTCTGTTATTCTGTTCTGGATATGTGTCATAAACAATTATGTCTTATCTCATTTCCCAGTGAATTCCAATTTCTTCCTGGAGGTGAAAGTGGACCCAGGCATGAAGCTGTGGCAATCAATATTAGAAGCATTTGTTCTGTTACCGTATCTTAATGTATGGCTTGTTGATGGTGAGTCTTTCTTCCCCATTATTATTACAATTTTGAAATAATTTAGTATACGTGATAACTGCCTCTACTGTTAATAGTTCTTAATGTTTAACTTTTATTTCTAGCATTCAGTTGGTATCATTCCACTTTAAAGTCTGCCACCCCACTGAAGAAAGCTCAATCTGTTCCATAGAAACTGTAACTGAGTCATCAACCCTGCCAATCTCCTGTTTCTCAAACTTGGTTGCTTCACAATGGTTGGACTTCAACTCCCAGAATTCCTCAACCAACTATACTTACTGGGGAGGTCTGGGAGTTGANAGGAATGTCCTCCATCTCTGGCTCTCCAAAGATCATCGGTCAATGCGACCAAAGCGGTTTCTGTGCTGAAAGAAAAAGAAAAGCCAGAAAGTCCAGTTTCCTCTTGCAAAACGCCTTTGGGACAACCATGACCTGGATGACTGAGAATCTCCATAGACCTCCAGTGATGGAGCGCCTAGAACTCTGGGAGGCAAGCTGTTCCACTGGTTAATAGTTCCCACTGCCAGGAAATCCCTCCTTATTTCCAGGTTGGATCTCCCTTTGATGAACTTCCATGGATTACTTCTTGTCCTATCCTCAGATGCTATGGAGAATAAATGGACACCTTCTTCCCTATGGCTTCTTCCCTATGTCTCCTCACAGTCTTCTTTTTGTTAAGCTAAACACATCTAGTTCCTTTAGCTATTAATAAGATTTAGCCTCCAGACCTCTTATAATCTGTTGCTCTTCTCTGCACTCTTTCTATGGCTTCAGCATCTTTTTTGTATTGTATTGTGGTGACCAGAACTGGACACATTCTTCCAAATGTGGCCTCACCAATATGGTATAATGCAGCACTATTACTTCCTTTGATCTTGATCATAATACTATCCCTCTCTTGATGCAATTCAGGGTTACATTGGCTTATGCAACCTGATTGAATCACCCCCCAAATTCATAGCACAGCGCAGCGCAGCATCTATCAAGATGAAATTTGGAAGCTCTTTGGGTTTTCCAAAAATCTAGACAGTCATTAATTGCAGCAAAGCGATACTGAAAGTCTCTTGCTTCCATCAAGTGATCATCTGGATTCCTACAGATCAGATTTGGTAACCCCATGAGGATCATCATTTATCAGTTGTAGAATAAAATGTTTATTCCATTTGAAGATGCTGGAACATTGAACAGCAAAAAAAGGGGGAGTTTAAAAGCAATTTTTGCTGAAAAACAAAATGAAAAAACTTGGGGGATGTTATTTCAAACAAAACCAGATAATATTTTCATAAGGCAAAATATATCCCGATGGTAACTTTTGGTATTCTAATAAGCTTATGCAACAAAGGTGAAGTTTACCGTTAAGCACGAATTTCTGGTTTTCTGAAAGAAAATAGCCCTGCTGAATCATTTCAATAAAAACTATTTTATCTGACTCTCACCTAAGGGAAATTATGGAATCATTTCCATGTAAAGCATCGTATTTATTTTATCCAATTCTCATTTAGGAGAAATTACGTTTATCTTGACAGAAGAGGAAAACAAACTACAGAAAATGAAAGAACATGTGGCAAAATAATTGGCCGTGTGATTGTTGAGTCTGCTGCAGCATTCTTTATTTGACTAAGGCAAACGCTTTCTGAAACTAGTTTACTTGAAAACACTCCAAGTAAATATTTTGGATGGCTGCACAATTCCTTAAGAAAACCATAGAATTGCAACCAGGTGTGTTGATCCTCAGAAGGAAATCGTATAGACTTCTTTCCTGCAAATATTTTCAATCATCATAATGTAGGCTGAATCTTTATTCTAGTTCTTTGTGAGTTTATTGTTTTTGGTTCATTACAGTGGTGGGAGTCAATTTTTTACTACTGGTTCTGTGGGTGTGGCTTGGTGGGCGCGGCTTGGTGGGCATGGTAGGGGAAGGATACTGCAAAATCCCCATTTCCTCCCGATCAACTGGGACTTGAGAAGGCAGAGAATAGATGGGGATTGAGCCAGTCAGAGGTGGTATTTACCCATTCTCCGAACTACTTAAAATTTCCACTACTGGTTTTCCAGAACTGATCAGAACCTGCTGAATACAACCTCTGGTTCATTAGGTTTATATTGGAGCTTTTATTTAGGAGCTCACCGTCGCATACATAGTCCTCCCTCCTGTTTTTTTCCTCAAACCACAACCAGTGTGGAAGGTTGAACTAGGAGAGTGAGCAGCTCAAATCCACAGATGAACTTCTGGGCCTGAAGATGGATTACTTCCTATACGTTCCCCACTCTCCAGCACTTTAATTGCTATAAGACGTTGGCTTTCATTACGTCTCATGTTATCATCATTTGCATAATTTTCTACCGCCTAGCAGAGCCCAAGCACACTTCCAACAAGAAAATCTTCAGAACAATTGGACACCACTTACTTTTCCACATGTTGGACTGCAGCTTCCATTTTCTTTCACACAAACACACCCAAGTTGACTAGAACTGGCAACATCTGAAGGCTGACTACTAATCTACCACTGTCCTGCATATTTAAAGTGTATTTTTCAATGCTAAAGTTACTTACATTTTTGAAATTGGATGAGTGCCCACCTGTCCCCTTCTTCTCCCCCACTTTTTAAAAACATAAATATTATATTAACGTTCAGCCTGAAGATGATTTTGAAAAATTCTTGCAGCATGTAGCTGATTTGGCTGGTCTGAAAAAGATCTAAGCAAGGTCCTTAATGGCACATTTATGGAAATCCAGGAAGAAATTCTGTGAGCTATAAGCTAGATTGGAACAGCCCTGTTACTATGTTAGGTAAAGCAAAAGGAGAGTAAATAATTAGTCAAATGATTTGTTATTACTTTATTATGAATGCCCCATAGAGAGAGAGAGAGAAGTGATTGCAAAGTGTTTTGATTCTAGAGCCAAGATCATTTGGCTTGACTATGTCTTAATGTCTTGGATTATAAAACATTTGACTGACTTTGATTCATTTTGTTTTCAGGAATGAGAAGCCATGATTCCTCAGTTGCCTCCTTGCCAATATTTCTGTTTTGTGTGTCCTTTCTCTGATAAATGTGCCCAATTCCCTACCAGTTGTCACTGCTTCCTGCCAATGAACAAAGACCGGAGAAGCTGCATCAGATTTATTTCGGTGAGCATAATGGTTGGCATGTATTTTATCAAACGTGTTGTTTATTAAGGAATCAAGAAGCAATCCAAGCAGGCTTTACCAGTTTGATGGCCCCAGTTTCATTTTCTCCCAACACTAGATTACAAAACAGTTGCATTGTTCCATAGAAAAAGATTGACAATTATTAACAATTGTGATTACTTCTTCTACCTGAATAAACATTTACTGACAATGAAGATGTCATAGCAGTTAATAGCTTCTTCCTTTTAGGATCAACCATCAACAAGCATTCAGAAAGTATTCTGCAGACTAGCATTGATAGAGCAGCCATGAAGACTTTTGAAAAGTTATTCAAAGGTCAGGATGAGTTCCCATCTACAAATATCAGAATCATGCTATCAGTGATATCTCATATGAGACTTTATGGAAAGGAAAGTTGGATTTTGAAGTAAGATAGGAAGTATTGAAAGAGCTCTTGAAAATTGGTGTTTCCTCATGAGAATGCCGCAGACAGCCAAGAAAGCAAATAAAGGAATCATCAAACAAATCAACCCTTCTCATTTGAAACACAAAGGACCAAGCTCATCATATAGCACATTATAGAGAGACACAGTTCTCTGGCAGAGGTTCTAATCTGCAAAGGTGGGAGGAAAGAGAAGAAGACAATCACCTGTGGCAAGATGGACGGTCTCAGTTATAATGATGATGGGGACACCAGAGGAGAAATTGAAGGATCAGTAGTCATAGAGAAAATATATCTATGTGATCTCTAGCAGTCAAAATGACTTGATGGCACAAAATCAGTCATTCAGTCTAACTCAGGGGTGTCAAAGTCGATTTCGTTGAGGGCCGCATCAGGGTTCTGTTTGACCTCGGGCAGGGAGGCGTGGCTAGGGTGAGCATGACCAGCTCAACATCCCTTGTGTCGGGGGTGGCTGTGGTAGCCCGAGCTGAGCTGCATTTTCACTGGTAGAGGCACCACGGGCCAGCCCTTCGCTGTTTCCAGGGTGGCTCTGCAGGCCAGATCTAAGTAACCCACGGGCCAGATCCAGCCTCTGGGCCTTGAGTTTGACACCCCTGGCTAAATGAATAGACTTTCTATTTGCCTGAATTCTAAACATCCAAATAAAGTTTAACAAAAGGAGCCATCAGAAATCAGTGATATTCTAGTGACTGAGTAAGATGAGGCAAATCTTGCACTACCCAGAGTCATCCTCAAGGTGAGTTAGAAAGGTCAAGATGGCAGCCACAACCCTGTGTTTGAAATCCTGGCCTTTTATGTGTCATGACTTAAACGTGAAGGGACATAATGGGTAGATTTCTACATTGTGATGTGTCAACTTTTAGTTAAGTGTGCACTATGGATCAGTGGTGGGATTCAAAAAGATTTACTAGCCTTTCTGTGGGTGTGGCTTGGTGGGCATGGCGTGACTTGGTGGGTGTGGCAGGGGAAGGATACTGTAAAATCTCCATTCCCTCCCCACTCCAGGGGAAGAATACTCCAAAATCCCCATTTCCTCCCAATCAGCTGGAGACAGAGAATAGATGGGGGTGGGGCCAGTCAGATGTGGTATTTACCATTTCAAAATTTCCACTACTGGTTCTCCAGAACTGGTCAGAATCTGCTGAATACCACCTCTGGTATGGATCTATTAAAATATGAACATTTTATTGAATGGTTTAATCCAATGTGTGACCAGCTAACATTGGGTTATTTAACAGATTATATTTAAGTATTTCATGGTTTATGTAATGTCTAATCCAGGTCAATGATAGGAAAGAACTGGCAAATTTGGGGAAGGAATAAAAAAGGATTAGCCGGAGGTATAAGCATACAGGACTTAAGTTATTCCTTTTAAATGGGACTTATTTTAAACCAGGAAAGTGATT